CAAACGTGCTGTCCTTAGGAATATGTTCAAAACGGCAATGGAGACGAGCAGCGGAAAGGATAAACGGCCCGAATCACGAAAGTTGGCTACCCAAATTTGCTTGTAGCAATGGCTACCATCCCTCACCACATATTCGACATCTAAAAAGTGGTGAGCACTAAGCTGAAAACAGACTCCTACTTTGCTTGCCATTCATCTCTGATAAGATCAGTACGGCCATTCAAAAATGCATCTTTCGTGCGCAACTGCAAGATGATGTTAGTCAACATTCCAAACGATAACATCAAAAAATACTTGGTGCGGAAAAGGCTCTACGATCGTTACTGTCTATCAGAGCAATGCGTTGTTTGTCCGCGCGGGAGACTGGGTGACCGCGCAAAGATGGGAGTTGTCTATCAGCTTGAGTGTTTGAGCTACAACGCAGGGGTGGGTGTGAGATGGAAGTGTGTGTGACTTTTGGAAAGTGCTGAATGATGAAAGGCATTGGTTCAGGCAATGATCAAAAATTCGCACAGTCGTCAGCGTGTCCAAGTTGGGCAGTTTCACGCAGTATTAGAGGCAATTCCACGAAAACGAAACCTAATACTATGTAGGTTATTTGCCCCACAAATATGAGAACGGATCAACTCCGATCGCGCAACTCCGGTCTTCAAGCTGCCAGGAGATCGCCCACAAACCCGGGCGCGCAAGCCATCCTTACACGGCCTCGGACAAAACCACGATTCCCCTCCCATCATCGGAAGCGCCATGTTGCAATTACATAATAAAGAATCTCGCAAAGTCTCTGCATTTCTAGTTAGCCGGGAACTGTCTCATTCGCCCGGGTTGAAAATGAGGGACCTTGAAAAATGCTGTTTTCAACCATTTCCGACATTTCCAAGGTGGATTTCTGAGGTCAGCGCATCGAAAACCACAGCTGAGCCTGAGACTTCCAAAATGGACTTGCCGAGCACTGCCTCTAAAGGTGTATCCCACGTAAGTCACGCAATCACCACTGAGACAATTAAAACCCTTTCTGAAAAACCTTTCCCCCTCGTAGTGGTGGGCACCAACAATAGGATGAAAAGGAATTGCACTTGATTAACTCATTAGCAGAGTTTAAATAGAATGAAAAAGGAAACAGGATTCAAATGCGTGCTACACTCACTTCCGAAACTGAAGATGCTATGCTAGATTTTCTATCATCATCTAAATTCTCATTGTCTTCATGATCCCGCCTTCGCTTTGCTTTTATCAAAATTTTCTTCCTCAGAACATTTGGAGACGGAAGCGGTGTATATTCCTCCAGCTAAATATCGGACTTGCTGAATCTGAACGAACTTTAGAGCTTACCACATGATTAGGCAGTGGGCGATCAAGCAGATGTTCACGAAAGGTTTGTCGAAATATAGCTACCATTTGCCTTTGCTGTTGCTTACTAAGATGATTTTCAATAGACAGTAGTACTGGATAGGGAGAAGTTTTGAACGCACTCTCTGCGATGGCTACGCATACATCCTAAACTGCATCGTTTCTGACGCAGCTAGCAATAACACCGAAATTGAAGCAAATGTTGACGTAAAACAAGACACTGTAAACTACCTTTAGAAGAACCTCGTTCATGCGCATCACTATAGATGGACCATGCGTGACTACTGGTCCATGTGGCCCATCCCAGACATCAAGTTCTACACATCTGCATCCAGATAGGAGAACCTGCAAACAAAACTTCGTATAACGGGCTGCAACGATCACCTGTACCTGTCTGTACATTTCTACGTCGGCCATGGCTTCTTTGTGTGGAGCGGAATGCAAGATTTTAGCCACCTTGACTTGAAGTCCTTAAAAACAATCGCAAGTGTTAATAATCATTAGAATATCAGGATACACGATGTTGTGCACCACCGGGAGCAGAAAAGAAGAGAATTTTTGGTATTCTCCTAACGCTAAAATCATCTTACCTTTACAATATGTATTGTGGGAAGAGTTTATGAAATAATGAGACAAAGGTGCATGCATCATATCAGTAACTGAAAAGAATCCGGGATGTTAGAATTGATTTAAAAACACGTTACCTTCCTCTATAGACATATTCAAAGAATCGGTGCAAAAGTCACTCCACAAGAAGTGAACAAAAGCTTGAAATGTAACACCGGTGCCTAAAAGCAAAACATTTATCCCCAAATGCATTGAAGAGAAGAATACCCGACAAATGGCCGATTGCTTCAAGTCGTTTTTTCATCATGCGCTCGCTCATTCGTGGATGATCGACCTCGTTGAGGCGCGGGTCACGTTGGAAAGTATTCAAAAATTGAACGAAATTCTTGTAGGATACAGTGTTTTCAACCTCATCACGCCTGAAAATGATAATACACTCTAAAGCAGAATGTGTGGGTTTTTTTTGCTGGTATTCTTTACAATTTCATGCGTTTGTAAAATGTGTACATAGAGT